CATTCTTTCATTTGACTTGTCTTGATTGAAGATCTGGGACTGTGCTTCCCTTCTTTGAAGAGGGGGCCCCAGCATCCACTGTTCGAGCTGAGTCCTCATGACTAGTGCACTACCCTGACTGGTCCTTAGAACATGCTGAAGACCAGCACCAGCTTCATCTATCTTGACTGCCATGAGGCCAAGTGTGGTCCTGTCACATTAGGTGATTGTATCTGCACTCACTTGTTTTGTTTGTTTGTTTGTTTGTTTTGTTTTTTATGAACTGAAAGAAACTAGTATTGCTGGAAAGTTAGATTTGAGCTAAATTTAGAAGACAGATGAAGTGCATATATCCTAGGATAAACACCCTGTTCACTCAGTGGCTGGGATCCTGGCTTTGGCTAAAATTTAATGAATAAGGTAGAGTTAGCGACCTGATATAGCAGGTCAAACCTACCTTCAAGTTTTCACTATATCCCTCATCCCCATGTGATGGGGAAAAGGGCAAGCTAGTGAATCTCTCTATGGCTTAGCTTCCTCATGGTCATGGATTACTTATCCAAACCAACATCATAAGATGTCTTTCAAATTAAAGTGCATTAAAGATGTGGCATACATATTACACTTCTAAAAAGACAATAAACTATTTAACAGTGTATCAGAATTATCACTCAGTTATAGGGAGGAAAGAGAAAAGGCAAGGAAACATGTCAATACACTTATTTAAGCTGCTTCAACTTCAAAGCTTTTGATACCAGGATAGAAAAAGAGTGTGAATCTGGCCATAATAAGGTAGTAATTACAGGGGAATGATGACAAAGGTCTCAGATGTAATGTGGACCTTTTCTCAGATCAATGTAAACTTTTGAACTCTATGTTTTTGGAATAGAAAAACAGAATCAGATCCCAAGTTCTCTAAAATTCCTTTCTATCCCAATACTATTTTTGCTTTTTATTACTTTAAAATACATGTTTACCTGCTGTGTTTCAAATATAACCTTCAGCAGCTAGTGAAAATGAAAACAATTTGATATAGTCTTACAATCATTTGAAACAAATTTGTGTTTTGCTTTTATATTGGAGGTTAAAAAAATAAGTGAACTGTTATCTACTGGCTAAACTGTGCATTATCTCATTCAACTATAGAAAAAGCTTTGATAGCAGTCACACATGGTATACAGATAAATCAAACAAATCTACTAAAAAACAAAGTAACAAACAAACAAAAAACAACATGTAGGCCATAGGTCCAAATTAATGGTTACTGGAAGGGCAGTCAGAGTGGTGGTGGGTCATTTTTATGGTAAAGGATAGAACTGATGTTTTAGGGATGAAGTTAACGTAGGATATACAGATTTTGATTTATAATGATATACACTTGGAACTACATAATACAATGCATTGCTATTTTCAATAAAAGTTATTTTAAAAGTCCTCTATAAAATATCTATCTCCAACCTGAGAAAATGGGTTCTGAGAAGTTTGAAAGTCATAGCATTGGTTTGGACCCCAGAATGCATGAAATAAAACTCTTCTGACACTATACCTTAAGTTTCTTACCCATGCCAGTCCTCAAAATTCTGGCAACAGGAACCTTAATGTTTTGTGTCCCAGTGAAGACTGGCACTAAGAAGAACAGGAAGCCATTGTGATGTTCAGTCTACACTATTTTCCCTTGCCACCATTCTAAACTCCATTCGCATGTTAACCTTGGCTGTGACTTAACATCTCCTTGTTAAATTCTACTTCTTTCCTTTGGTGGCAACCCAGCTTGTTGAACAGATGAATCATTAGATGAGGAAAGGAAAGCAGATCCCAGATGGAATGCCTGGGATTGAGGTCAGTTGTTATGTGTGGTTCTAGTTTGTCACTGAGATTCTAATGCATTTCAATTCAGCTTTTAAAGTACTTTAATCTATTAATTATTGCCAAGTTACAATTTCACTTTACCTTTAGTTCCTCCTACAAAATGGAAATAGTATTGATTTGTAAAATATTGTAAAATCTCAAGGCAACTAAATGCCTTGATATTTCATTTACCTAAGATGTTAACAGAAACCATGCTACTACATTTTTTTAAATCTAGTTACTTAATATTATCTAACATCTTAATATTATCTATCTCATTAGATCAAATTTCTTGAGCTGGTCCCTAACTATTGCTTCTGAGACTACAGACTGAAAAATAGATATATATGGGTACCTTTAAAAAAAAAACAACACATATGAAAAATTAAGAATTAGAGCAAAGAAGGCAGAAAGAGTGAGACTAGCTAAATAAATATGTTGACTACTACAAAGCGGATAACCAAAAACAATCATTAAAATTTGAAGACACAAATGCACTGGACCATGGTGATGGCACATGGGTGATTTCGTGATGGGAAGCCCATGGGGATTACAACTGAGATGGAAAAATGCATAAAATGATGTAAAAACAGACTATCATACTATTAAAAAAAAAAGCACCAAAATAGAAACAGTAAAAAATTTTCATTTTAATAAATAAACCTGAAAAAAAATTTGAAGACACACTATCATATGAAATAAAAGTACTTCTTTTATATGTAAGTGTTGGAAATAAAGCATTAATGATTAGGGCAAACAGCATGAAGTTTAAATAATATATTGTGACCAACTTTCCAAGGATTTAAGCATTAGAACTGAATAGGGAACTTCATTTTCTGGTCAAGAAGCAAGAACTAGATATACCCCCCTGCTTTAAGCAATTAGAAACATAGAATACATAAGGCCCTCCCTGATGGAGCAAGGGGTTAAGATGCAGCACTAGGAAGCTATCCACAGCTACTGCAGCATGAGTTCAATCCCCAGTCAGGGAACTGAGTCACATGGTGCAGCAGACCTCTCCTGTCTCACCCACTGTCCCCCTCAGCAGTGTATTTCAATCCATCTTTCTGTTCTGTTTCCCACTTTATCTTTGGCGAATCCTCTCAACCCCTGCAGCTCTGCCTGTACCAGTTCTTCTATGCATAAATAAATCTTTAAAAAAAAGAAAAATAGAATATATAAAATAATAGTCCTCAGACATTGAAAGGTAGTAAATGACAGTGATTCCTTACTGAAGGGAAATAAATGAGGTGAGTCACTGATCAATTACTGCCTAGGAGCTGATTTCTAGACTAAAGTTTAGGGTGGCAGAATACAAACAAAGCCTTGTTGTCTTGCTGGGTTCAGAAGACAGAGATCAGACTTAGGGAAACCATAGCACACAGAATTTGAGAGTACCAGAAACAGAACTCAAGAGAGTTGGGGAGGGGTCTTTGGTTGTCTCTCAGTCTATCTATGCATGAAAGTAAACTGGCCACAGCCAGGGAAAGAATCACAAGTAGAATAGCCTGAGCAGAGAAATACTATCTGTCTGTGCTTAACACCCATGTGCCAATCTGACATGGGACTATTACTCAATTTTAACCAGTTTACTAATTAATCCAGTCATTATGTCTTGGGGTGCATACCCAATACATACTGTGAGTCTAAGTACCCAAGTTTATGAGCAAAATACCTGCATGATCCAAAGTATTTATACATTCTGGAAATCTGGATGTTTAGCAGGGAGACATGGGCGAAGACCTCATTGTTTGGGTCCACACATGGGCAGGCTAACGATCATACAGATGAGCAGGCTCCATGACACATTATTAGATGGATGGCTTGGAGCTAAAGTAACAGCTTACTGACTCTAGTTGTAATTAGTTTTTCAAAGGGGAAAATTATTTTCCTTTCTTTAGCTTCAGCTTTTTGGTTTCTGCTTGAACACTTTGGATTATCACTGGCCTTAGCTTTGCATGATCCCACAGTAACCATCACAAGCCCTGGTTAAAATCTCTGTCTATAGTCATACTGTATTCTGGAAAGAAAACTCCCTAAGCTCAATTTTACTGATTATACTTTTAGATACATCTAAAAGAGGTTAGAATAAGGGTTTAAACAAAAATAAAATATTTTTACCACATTATACCTATTTTATTGTTTCTCAAAGTGTAAGTGTTTAAATTTGAAAGAGAAAATCAAATTGTAAACATGGAAGATTAAAACAATGGCCTTAACTCAGGTACACAAGTCTCATTTCTCTCTGTCAAATGTAAGCCCTGACTTTATTTCTTCCTAGACACTATCAGTTTACCATCTACTCTTGTTATCTCCCTTTTGTCTTTCAATCCTTGCTTCTTTTTCTGTTTTCATTCTCCTCCTGTTTCTGTATTTTTTTCTCTCTCCTTATTTTCTCCCATCTCTAAGTTCTCACTGATAGACTCTCTGAATGTGCTCTTCAAAACAACCCATATCATTGCACTGGTTAAAAGAACAGGATTATGGGTTTGCGCACTTGGATTCAAATTCTGACTTTGCCACTAACTGCCTGTATGACCTTTTACAAGTTACTTACCCTTTCTATGTATCAACTATTTGTAAAAAGTGACATTAATAATATGTGTCTCATAAAGCTGCTGTGAGGATTAATGAGATAATTCTCTAAGCACAGTGCCTGATGAATGGTAGATTCTCAGTAAATGTGTTATTAATTTTATTTTTAATAAAACTACCTTGTATGTGGGGTTTTGCTTAGTGAACCAACAAGGTCATAAATTCTGATACTTTGAGAATTTTGATACTTTGCTTTTTCCAGATAGAGAAAAAGAAATAGGGTAGATTTAAAGCTAATGAGTTAAAAGGGAAGAAGAAACTTCTTGTAGATGCTAGAATATGAAAAGCATTGAGAACTAAAGCTATTCCTTCCTTTTGTCCTTCCCCTCTCTTCTCAGAAAGGCATAGGAAGAAAATTTAGTATCTTTAGATCCTTGGGCTCAGGAAATGGCCTCCCTCTGGATGAGCAATGCTATGCTCAGAATCGCTATTGACCAAAATTGAATGGATCCTTTTAAGCCGTGTCATAATGCAGCAAAACATCAGAAGCAGGAAAAATTCATGCTACTTACTTTTTAATAGATTGTGGAGACTCTGAAAAAACTTGTTACACTGTGGAAGAAATAGACTTCACTCACCGGCAGGAGTCTACTTGGCTGATTAAGGCTTGTCCCTTCTGCAAAGCATCAGCTGCGCAGTCTGTAATTTCTCTGTGTAATTCCTCATGCCTCACTGCCAAGACAGGCAAACTTAAACCCTCTGATTTAAGGAGCTTAAGGTAAGCTTCAACTCTTCCAAGTACATCAAATGCCTGCCAAAGAAAACATATTTTCATTTTCTGCCTTTCTAGTTTGAAGTCTACATCCATGTGTACATAAAATACTGGATATTAAAAACCTAGCCATTCAACTTATTAGTTTGAATGTTTGCATATTTGGTGCTGCATAAATATAATGAATGAGGTATTTCAAAATATTACACAGATTTTCAAAACTTGAATATGTTGGCAATATTGTTGAAATGAAATTTTTCAACACATTGCACTTTAAACCTGATGTACTATATGGAAATATTCAAAAAATTACAAGTGAGACTTGCTTCCTGCCTTTTCGAGTATAAGACCTTTTTTCTATTCCATCCAAAGCATCTACCTGTCTATAAAAAAGTTAGAATTTGGTTCTAACTTTATTTTATAAAATAAAGCCAATTTTTTTTTTTTTGGTTTTGATATGCAGAATAAAATTACACAGAAAAAAAATAGCCTGGCAATCTAAGATAATATCTTCAGGGAAGATTTTTTAATTCCTTTATTTTCTTAGTTCATTAGTAGATCAAAATCCAAACATAGGGAATTAAACTGAAAGAGTTAACATAGAGTAGAGAAGAGCTATTCTTTTGGCCATTAAAACTTACTGTCATTCACAAAAACACTGATTGAAAAAGATACCTGTACCCCCATGTTTATTGCTGCTTTATTTACAATTGGAAAAACATGGAAGCAGCACAGATGCCCAAAAGTAGATGACTGGATTAGAAAGATGTGGTACATATATACAATGGAATATTACTCAGCAACCAAAAAAGAGAAACACATGTCTTTTGCAGCAACTTGGATGGAGCTGGAAAAGATCATGCTTAGTGAGATAAGCCAGAAAGAGAAAGAAAAATACCAGATGGTTTCACTCATAGCAGGGTATAATGGACCAAGCGAGAAAATAACAAAAATAATGAACAACCATGTACCAGAGACATTTTGTGGGGGTGGAGTGAGGAATGGAATCAAAAACAGGGTGGGGGGAGAAATGCACAGGATTATGGTGATGGCACATGGGTGATTTGGTGATGGGAAACCCGTGGGGATTACAATCGAGATGGAAAAAGAAATGTACAAAATGATGTAAAAATAAACTTTTGTAATAAAAAAAATGAAAAAAAACTTAATGTCATGAAGAATGGCAGATGATATGATATGAAATCAATTTTTAAAAAATGGGTAATGAGAATAAAAGAGAGATAACAATACACTGGTATTCATGGGTCCCCTAATTTTCTACCCCTGAACTTTTGCCGGGGAAGCAAGAAATAAGTTAGGTAGGTTAGAGAAAACCTAAAGAGCAACAGAGCTCTTGCCATGTGTGCCCTTTGTCACTGCTGGAATAAGTCATCTTACAGGATGCTCCACACTGTCTGGGGGACAGTTGTAGCACAGTTAGCTTGACAGTGACACATCAGCAAAGATCTTGAAGTCTAGCCTTCTCCCGATGCTGAGTTGGAAGACAGTGAGTTTGACAAGGGCATGATGGAGGGGAGTTGAAGACCCCACAGAAGCCTCTTGAGAAATGAGAACAGATGGTCTCATAAGTCTAGTACCACTGAAACCAGAGAGCAAAGAAGCAAGACTGAGTTGATGCTGAGGAAATACATTTTAACCCAAATGCAGTGAGGACAGCTGCAGAAATAAGGTAAAGCACCCAGGCTCCTGTGCCTTGCGGCCATTTTACACAGAGTGCTTGCAAGGCAGAATGGGAACTGGACAAAACAAAATCTCTCAACCACTGTCATTATTTGTAACTTGATATTCTCTTCTCTCTCCAAAGGCTTCATGCCTCCTTAGTGTGCTTTCCCTGTTTACATGGAGAGTTTGAAACACAATTATTGCTATTTATTTAGCAGTTGATAGGAAAGAATAACAACAATAATTTGGAAAGACATTCCATGTTTATATACAGATAAGGAGAATCAATATAATCAAAGTGACTATTCTACTTAATACAGTAATTTAATGAAATCCTCATTAAAATACTAATAAAATTTTCAAAGAAACAAAAAAAAAATTGAGATTTATATGGAAACATAAAAGGTTTTGATTAACAAAAGCAACCCTAAGAAGAAAAAGAGAGAAATGAAGGGTTCATATTACCTGGCTTTAAACTGTACTAAAAAAGTACTAAATACACTATACCACGTGCTTGCATTTTGTCAACAAATGCTTTTGAGTATCTGCTGAGTTTGAGACATATTTTGTGTATTGTCTGTGGGAAGAAGCAAGAAATCACCCCTACTATATTAAGTGGGAAAACTGAGTCTCAGACAGGTTAAATAAATAGCACAAAGTGATACATCTATGCAGGTTTGGTACTTGTACGCAATGGCCCTGAAGCATCTGCACTTAAACTCTGGCTGTTGTGCCATGTAACCAAGGACAAATATAGGAGGATTAAGAAAGAAGGGGCATTTCCAGGGACCCTGTAACATTGGGTGGCTAGGAATTTCTAAATATCTGCCTTTCCTTCTTACAGATGAGAGATGATACAGAGAAAGGTTGAGACATTTCTCCTAAGCTCTACAGGACTGTAAAAGATGATAGCTTTATTAAAGACACTTTGAACCTGAAAATCTCTTCCTTATCTGATCCTTTTCCTTCTTGCAGCTGGCAACAGAGCCAAGTGCGTCAAGATGCTGATGTTAGAAAAGGAGATTAAATTTCTTAATCTTTCCATAATGCATTAAAATGCCACTTGGCAATAATCACTGTTTCTGGATTTGTTTTATATTTTAAATTTTTATTGCTTATTTTGAATAAAGTAGAGTCTCCTGTTAATCAAGAGTTGGTTTTAAAGTCAGTGCCTAAAGCAAAAATCTGGTGCAGTCAAAATTATCATGAATTCTCTTAAATAAACTTAAAGTTTAATATATATGAACTAATGCTTATGGCAGCATGTTTTCACTCAGTGCTAACATTTAGCATTGAAACTACTGAGCTAGACAAAAGGAAAAGATAAAGGGAAAATATATACATAGATGCCAGGACATTCATTCCTTTCCTTATTTAGGGTAGTTTTCAAGTTTCTAGTGCAAGTGGAGAATAGATAGAGCATTCCAAAGAGCTTTTTCTTGCCTGAAACTTTAATCATATTTAGGATCAAGCCATTGACACCGATCATGTTATCATATACCTATCACTTTTGTTGTTTTTCTATAAATTGAAGAAAACTATAATAGTAAGTAAGACATAATGGTGAGCATGTGGTAACTAGTAAAAAAATACATTCAATATTCAAAATACTGATTGATCAGATGCATTGTTAAAAAGTAATGAGAAGAGTGTGGCCACCTGCTGCCTGTCACTCACCCGTGTGGGCCTTTCCTTTGTAGCCCCATCCAACAGCTGCTCCTCACACAGCCTTGGGCATTGCTCTCATTTTCATAGGAATGAGATGCAAAAGCTATGTGTACATTAAATGCCTATATGATGTATTCCACCCAACTCTGAATGTTATTATAAAGGTGTTATTTCCTAACAACATGCAAATAAATGGAAAAGCTAAAGATTTGCCAGAAAGAGTAGATATTAAATCAAGCAACAAGATAACCCAAAAGTAAGACTCAAAATAACCAAATTTTCTTCCATAGAGTTTTCTCCAAAATGCTTTTGGAAAGCATTCACTTAGGGATTTTTCTGTGTAATAGACAGAAGAGGGGTGATTTCATCCCTTCATTAGTTCAATACAAAATACTACTAAAGGTCAAATGGGCTGTTGCTACAGGAGAGTTTATTTTTTATCTGTAATCCTAACCTAGCACAATGGAAATAATCTGTAAACAGAGAAATAGTTAAATTTCTTGATTTTCAGTGGAGATCTCTTCCCCACCCACCCACCCCCAGAGGTGACCTATTTCAAGAAGAGTATACATCCTGTGGTTGTCTGAGTCACACACAAACCTCATTTCTCTTATTTCCATGTAGAATTTGATGAGGAATCCATGTGCCAATTCCAGAAATGATCTAAGTGTCATTGCTCTCATTTAATCTACCCCTAAAATAGAAATGAGTGCTTTTCTATTTCCCATGTCCATAAGGAACCTGATATACTGAATGCAGCCTGGAAAAAACCTCTTTGTGGCACACACAGTACAAAACAGAGTATTTCTGGCAAGGACACTGTGAACCTCACATTAATTCCTTTGAAATTAATATTTCCTCTTTAGTTGCTCTCTTTATATCCCCCTCTTTGTCCAAACTTTGCATGTTCTTGCCAGATAAATATTTCATGATTGGGTTGGAAAAAGAAAGTAGAGAGGTACACATCTCCATTATAAGGATATATGCTATATATTATGTCATAATATTTTCTCTAATCAGCTCTTTTTGGCTCTGGTATGGAAAATACTAAGGAGTTGCTTGGATTTTGTTCTTTAAGATGCTAATAAAGATCTTTCTTAAGTACAAGATCTGAAGCAGGCTATACAAAATTAAATAGAGATGCTTTCAAGACATGGTACATTCTATTCTTTTAAAAATATCTATGAGATTAGTAAAATAAGTAGGGACCATGAGTCAACCAGCACAATTCTTATATTAATATTTCACAAAGATGCTTAATAAGTAATATAAATGGATCAACATTAAAAAATACTTCAAATTTCCTCTTCGTGAGTCGCATGGCTGGAGAATGAGTCTGGTTGACTTTTTTATAGTTACCGAAGACACAAAAGTCAAACGAGCATCTAGTCTGATTCTACTATATGTGGAGATTTACATTTCCCCTGGGTTCATGTTTTATAAAGCCCTAAAACTTCAGCTTTCTTTCTGAAGCATTACCTAAGATAACTGCTGGTGGCTCCCACTTTGGCAAGCTAATTCTGATTTCATATCCTACCCGAATCTATCAACTATTTATTTTTTATTTACTTTTTATTGTTGAAATATCATTGTTTTTCTGTATGCACGAATAAATAAATCTTTAAAAATTTTTTAAAAATTTTAAAAATAAATATCATTGTTTTACATACTTGTTAACATTTTAACTG